GGTCCACATGTAGTACCTATATATGTAATATCAAAGCAATTGCACTTGCGGTTTTCAACAAGAAGTCGAAAATATCACTTTTTACTAAAAATGACAAAAATATTCACCAAAATTAGAGAATTGAAGATATCATCATGAAATGAACAAATCTGAGAGAGGTCTACCCAAGGTACATATACACCAAGTATCAAAGCATTCAGGCTTGTAGTTTTCAAGAAGAAGTCGAAAAAGTAAAACATTGACACGGACGACGGACGACGACGACGACGGACAATCACTCATATGATAAGCTCCGCTCGACAAAGTCGACAGCGGAGCTAAAAAATCACACAGCTTAAAAATTTTGTTTTTTGATTCCCATACAAGTTTGCGAAGTGAGTACATTGTATGCTAATTTTAGGTGTAAAAATGATACAAATCAACTATATTACGGTACTCTGTATCAATTTATAAAACAGTTAGATGCATGGCAATTTTATACTTGCAATGGCTACATTATACTTGCCATATTTTTACACTGTACTCGTTTTGCAGTAGCAATCAAAACTCAATATCATACAAATTATAACATAAATAGACTCAAAATTGTTTTGGATGCTAACTGCACTTGCTACACATTTTCAGGATTTGTTGAAGGGTACGTCCATTATCATAGGCAAACCATTACTTACCAATGTTTCCATGTCGATCTGTTCTTTTTTAAAAGCATCTATAAAATCACTTAGTCCTAACTGTTTGAGTGAATCCTCCAGACTGGGCAGTGGTTCTGGTTTCACAGAGACATCTAAAGCATCTACAGAGTCAGCCTCTAGGTCTGGCATACTCCTTGTCGTTTGTACCTGAGGTGGAGACTCCTCTGGGAGGTGCACAGGTGCATTTGGGTCATGTTGATGTGATAACAGATCAAAGCAAATGAGAGAACCTGGAGAAAAATACAACAACTGGTGTAAAAATGAAAATTAAAATCTGACATGCATATGTACACATGTACATTTTTCGATTCTATTATAGATGTTCTTTTGTTTTTAGATGCAGTTAATTTTAATCATGATACAGCAGATAGACACAACACATGGTCATGGCAGGTCAGGTAACCATCCATTAATTACGATTGATGATTAGAAACACTAGAAAATGTAGTAACTACTTAATGAGTAACAACGTAAAATTTCAACAACAAGCATTTTGTGTGAACGTTTGCATTCAATGCAAGATACTATTTTCCATCATGGACTATAGCGAATCAGTATCCAATGCACACAGAGACTGATTTCAGAATTTATGTCACGAACCTGGGACATGTTCGATGTTGGTGACCATGACATTTCTGGATTGCTTTGTGATTTCATTCCAAGGCTCAGACAAATAAAATAGTGTTCTTCTGCCAACTAGTATCCATGCTTTCGGCTCAGCCAAATTTGTTTAATTTGTCATTGGATTTTTGTGGCAATGTAACCCTTTTAATTTCCCCGAGTCGTTTGTGTTCATTCATGGTCTTGACAATAAGTGTCAATTGCTATGCAAGTCTACCATGCACGACCCCGGTCAGCCGGCATCATGGAATCTATGCATAAATTTGCATAAAAGATGGTTGACCTGCGACTGTCAACGCGGCGATGACCAAGGTGCACCGCCCGTTAAATTTTCTACTCTTCCTTTACCCAACAAAACGGGGTGCATGTACGGTAAATTATTGTTTTCAGTGCTACATTGGAAATTACTACATGAACATAACATGTACAAACCTAAACTATGTCCAATAATAGACATCTTTCCACAAAATGCAGGGTTTCTTTCTCTGAATAATTGATACAACCTGTTGATTTCACCACCTACTCTGTCAGAGACTGTCTGGCAGTACAAAGGGCTACTGTAGAAGAGAATGTCTAACAACGTATCATTGGTGAAATGTCGAAGACGTCCAATGCTTGGTAGTGTGATATTCCTCAATCGCCTATTGGTGGTAAAGAAAAAAGAATGTAAGGGTGATATTTAAAATGACTTGTTATATCACCTTGAACAATTGGCATAATGCAGGCAAGCAGAAATAGCCCCCTCTAGCTACAAGAACAGTACTCTCAGGCAGCAAAGTCAAAGAGCGCCCTCAGGCAGCAAAGTCAAAGAGCGCCCTCAGGCAGCACATATAGAGGCCACTAACTATAATATCTTGGGTACATCAGTGGTTACACTCCAATCACAGATAGTGGCCACTCTATATAGGAAGTAGGCATTACCTTTGAGGGTTCAAAATTACTAGTCCTTCAATAAAAGACTACAACATATTTATTTTGGACTATCAAATTTCATTGCTAGTTGTCACTTTGAACCACTACTCAAAGAGAAAATCAAATTGTTGAGCTAAACTGCTACAATCTTCATGAGTATTAGATCTAAGAAGGCAAACTAAATGCATGTATGTGATGTTATTGCAGTACCGGCATTAAAGATTATTTGACAAAAACAGAGATTCATATGTTTTCAAATTATGTAACTTCATATCATGAATGAAGGTCTGGGCAACAGGAACAAGAGCAGTGCTCT